GCCTCAGCCTCCTGAGTCGCTGGGATTACAGGCACGCGCCACCATGCCCAGCTAATTTTTTGTATTTTTAGTAGAGACGGGGTTTCACCCTGTTGACCAGGATGGTCTCGATCTCTTGACCTCGTGATCCACCTGCCTCGGCCTCCCACAGTGCTGGGATTACAGGCTTGAGCCACCGCGCCCGGCCGGTGTGTTTTTTTTTAATGTAGTTTGCAGGGGCTTTTACGGGAGCAACCCGTATAGTTGCTTGATTTGCTTTTTTTAGTTATTGTTAAATAATATTAGATGCTTTTTGAGTCGTTACTCCTATTACCGGTTGATTTTTTAATGACTGTTTTTGTTTTTAAGGAGATTGTCCCATATTTTTTCTTTTATGTTTATTAGGATATACTTTAAGAGTATGATGAGCTTATTTATCAAATGTCTGACCGGTGGAGTTATAGGGAATGTTAGTTTTACGTTGTATGTGTTAATGTTGCAATGCATATGTAAATTGAGCACTAAGTAATTCATATGTAAATTGAGCACTTAGTAAATTGAGCACTAAGATAGTAAGGTTTATTATTCGTTTTTAGAGTTTGTGGAAGGCTTAAGGTTATGATAGATTTAAATAGGCCCCATGCAGTGGCTCTTGCCTGTAATCCCAGCACTTTGGGAGGCCGAGGTGGATGGATCACTTGAGGTCAGCAGTTCGAGACCAGGAGTTCGAGACCAGCCTGACCAACGTGGAGAAACCCTCTCTTTTTTTTTTTTTTTGGAAACTTTGTCTCTACCAAAAAAATTACAAAAAAATTACCGATGATGGCAAATGCCTGTAATCACAGCTACTTGAGAGGCTGAGGCAGGAGAATTCCTTGAATCCAGCAGGCCGAGGTTGTTGTGAGCTGAAATCATGTCATTGCTCTCCAGCCTGAGCAGCAAGAGTGAAACTTCGTCTTAAAAAAAAAAAAAAAAAAAGATTTAAATAAGGCAGCAATTGCATTTTTGGTATTAGTGTGGGGAGTGCCATGTATTAAGTGTCTGCGGTATCATGGAGATAGATAGAGAAAACGTTTAAAGGTGGATACTGACTAACATTAGTTTGCCAGAGAGCAATAGGTACTAAACTTTGTCGGTTGGCACCAAGGCCTAAGGAAAAAGGAGAGAGAATGCTGTGGGCTATGAGGATGAGTTTTAATGAGTATGTGAGCTTCAGCATGTGGGAAATTGTTTAAGACTCTCAGCATTTTTATTAAAAAGCATGATTAGCTTGAGCTTGTGAAAAAGCAGGAAAGTTTGCAAACCACATGCATGGCTACACTAGAGCCTTGGCTTGAGTGATGTATTTATTTATGTATTTATTTTCTTTTTATTTCTTTTTTTTTTTTTTTTAAAGATGGGGTTTCACCATGATGGCCAGGCTGGTCTTGAACTCCTGATCTCAGGCAATCCACCCACCTCAGCCTCCCAAAGTACTAGGATTACAGGCGTGAGCCACCGTGCCCGGCCTATTATTTTCATTATCCCCAAGGAGAGAGGCTTAGAGGAGGAGTAGACATGCAGCATAGCGTTTCTTTTCAAGTGTTTGAGCCACAGCATTTTTAAACATTTGATGAAAAAGCTAAACATTTTTTGTGCTGCATTTATTTTTGAAGATGACTGCAGCTGGCAGAGCTTGTGTACCTTAGCCTACTGAGCATTTAACATATGGCTACAGGAGAGTGCCCCTAATTAGCGGGCTTCTTCCCAGAGCATTGTACTTCAGGCTGCTTTGCACTTCCTTGCCCACCTTAGGCTAATAAGGTTGGGGTTCACATGGACTGTTTTTAGCTCTTTTCCTAGAGGACCAGGGAAGACAAGGAATTCCTTATTAACTAAGACATGCGAGGAGTAACAGGGAAGGTCAGGAGTAGGAAAAGCAGCAGCACAGAAGCAGCGGGCCACTTTCTGGGCACAGTTCCTCAGGCACGTGACCATGGTGAGGAGGATTCTTAGGACCGGCCTGGAGCTGCCTGCAGCCACCCAGGGACTTGTTGTGCACCTTTTGGCCCTTCCTCTGTTACCACAAACCCAAAAAGGGGCAACCTGCCCAGACTGCCAGTGACCAAATGGGCACTCCATGGCATCTTAGCAACTCTCCTGGCCCAGGCGTTTGTGGGCAGCAAGAAAGCCAGAGCTTTCCGGGATGAAACCCAGGAGGCAACAGGCAACTTTTCCTTATACTCCAGGGAAACAGAAAGACAAGGCCGGGAAGGTGGATGCTGGAAGTGGAAAGTGGGAACTTCCATATTAGGAAGACAATCATCCTCAGCCACTTTCCTTCCCTCCTGGAGGCTCCCCTCCAGCAACGAAGTGTGTGAAGGGTACACGGCCACCCGATTGTATAGATTTTCGCTAACTTGGGGTCTGATTTAAGAACCATCTGGATTATGGGCTTGAACCCTTGTGTGAAGGGTGCAGTACCTTAGCTGGAGTGGGGTAGAGATGGGCCGGCACCCCCTTCTCACCTCTGGTGCTGCCAGCCTCAAGATCAGACATAGCCCAGACCTTGAAGGTCTTGGTAGGTGGCCACCTCTCATGCCATGGGGTATGGACACCACACTGAAGCTGCTGCTGGGGGCCGCACTATGGGGTACGGTGTCCACAGATCTGTGTTCACTGTCGAAGGTAGGCAGAGAGCCCCCCTGCTTCAGTTGGATTCGTGGAGTGCAGCAGGACACTGTCCTGGCCAAAGTCCTTCACTTAAGACTTTTCTGGTTCCAGTACACCATTATCTATGACATTCCGGTCAGATCTCAAAATAACTCCTCCCTCACGGGCTCCAAAGACCTACAGCTGGTCAATATCTTCCTGCTAGTGTTGTCTTGACCCAGTGCTCAGGAGCTTCCTCTCATGTACCAGCTCCTAGGGCTAGAGTATGAGGAACCAGTGTTGCCGTCCATTGTCAAGGAGGTTGTCAAGAGTGTGGTGGCCAAGTTCACACATGCCTGAGGCCGGACTTCAGCCCTGTCCTGGATGATGTAGCCATCACAGAGCTGAGCTTTAGCCGAGAGTACACAGCTGCTGTATTTTACCTCATCTAGATAATGAATATCATGTGTTATTTTGAACATAAAATCTACTCTATAGAGAAAACACTGTATTTAGTTATTTCTTTTTTTTTTTTTTTT